TTTATTTATTTTTTATAAGAAAGGAAAATGGTAGACGAGAAAAACCTGTTTTTAGAAAGAGATGGGGAATAATGAGGTAGAAAGAAAAAAAAAAAGCTTTCATCTAAAAATTTCATTACCAAATCACTATAATAAATTACCAATTTAAAAACTCAAAAAATATGAGATTTCACAATCTACACCCTTCAAACAATTTTTTTTTTTTCAAAATTCACAATCTCTAATATTACAAAATTTAATAACAACCTACTCCTTAAATCACACATTTTTATTGCACACTCTGATATAAGCAACAATTTTTTTTTTTTTTTAAACTTCAAATGTTGATATATATTTTTTTAACCTGAAATATCAACCTTTTTTTTTTAAACCTCAAATATCAACCAAATTTTGTTTTAACCTCTTTTTTGGGTGGATATTTTTTAACCTCAAACATCAACCATCCAACAGATCCCATGTAAAACTTAATCCCTTCATTCTGATGCTATTCTGTAACGCTCCAACTTCCGAACTGTTAATAAATCAAATCCATCTCAAATTACAATTTTAGATAATTAATAACATCAAATATACAAATTGTCTCCAAAATAATCTACACAAATGTCTCCAAAATAAATTCATACATTTGTCTCTAAAAATAATATATAGTGGTGGCCCCCAAATATCTAACTCAATTAATCGGTTAAATGCTTAAACTCCCACTAAATTGTTTCGTACCTGGAAAATAAATTAACTCGGAAAGTATACAATACGATAGGAATAACAAAACTCGGATAGAGAATAAATCAATAGGGATCCAACAAATTACAAGATTGCATAAACAATTCAATTTGAGATATCAAGCAATTTACCAAATTGCACAAACAGATCAACTCAACATAAGATAATTTGTCCCGGACCAAATACACAATTCTACTCTGTACATGACCAATGACCGTTCTCACCCACATCAGCCAAGCACTTTGGGCATATTGGTGCAAGTTATTGGCAGGGTTCACTCGATTCATGTACAGAGTATTTTTCTGGTAACTTAGTCAAACAAATCAACATTTCTACACAACATCACTTCGCGGAATTTTATCAGATAAACAAAGTAATCAAACGTATCAACACAAAATAATTTCACAGAATTTATCAAATGATCAATATAATAAACAGAGTACAAATTGAAAATAATTAAAATAAAAACTCTTTACAAAGAGATTTAAAGATAACATATTGTATACCACCCAAATTATCACAAATTAATTTTCTCTGTCACTAACACTTTAATTATCTGCTATTTCTCAATAAATCTCTAAAAATAATGGATTAAAATTCTAAGACATAAGGTATGTAAGGTTTCGAAAAATCTACAACTCTCATTTTAGATCAAATTACTAATTCCCACCATAATTATTCTCAATCTAAACTCAAAATCTATGTATATATATATATATATATATAGAGAGAGAGAGAGAGAGAGACGAAGGCAGAGAAACAAAAGAGGTGGAAAAATAGAAAAGTTGAGAATGAGTGTTCAATTTATAGAGTGGATTGCCTTGGTGACCAAGGAAACGAAAATGAAAAGAAGAAAAAGTAAGGGAAGTAAAGATGATAATCAAAGACATGGTATGGCATGGTGAATCAATCAAGAGAAGGGGTATGGGGTGGCCGGCCATGCTTGTACTTTTCTTTTTTTCTTTTCTTTCTTGTTTTTTTTCCCCCCCTTGATAAGGAGGGATAACAGTAAATGGCAAAAATCTATTTTTAAAAGATGAGCAATAATGAAGAGGAGATTAAAAAAAAAAAAAAGATAAAAAAATATAAGTAATTAAGTTAAATTTTTATTCAAAAATCTCACTATCAAACCACTATAATAAATCACCAATGCCTCTCACAAAAATATTTAAAACCTCAAAAATATCGGGAATTCACAATCTATTCCCCTCAAACAAATTTTTTCTCGAAATTTATAATCTCTAATACTCCAAAATATAATAACGACCTACGTTTCCATTGCACACTCTGATATAAACAACGATTTTTTTTTTTAATCAAATATTGATCATCTCTTTTTTTTTTCCCTTAACCTAAAATATTAACTTTTTTTTTTCACCCGAAATATAGAAAAATATTTTTTTTTTTCAAAAAATATAATCTAAAAAAAAGTTGTTCCACGTAGGAACATTGGATCAGAGTTTTAGTGGTGTGACACAATCAAATTGTGACAACAGAAAAAATCTTTATTTGTATAAATTTAATCCACGTAGGAACATTGGATCTGTTTGGTCATCATTTCATTTTTAGTTTTCAATTTATATTTATAAAAATTTTAAAAAATATCATAAAAACTTGTTTGATAATTTTTTTTGTTTATAAATAGTTGTCTCAGTTTATAAATTTGAGAAAAAAATGTAAACTCAAAAAATAAGTTTACGCTGGTTTTTAAAATTATTATTTTTCAATTAATTTTTTTTTCAAATATTTTTTTTCCAATTAAAATTTTTTTTCAAATAATTTTGTTTTTCAATTTTTTTTCACATTAATTTTTTTCAATTATAATGTGTATGATCCCATTGTCATAAATATTAAAAAAAATAAATATAAATATTGTAGGCTTGAACAAATATATTTTTTAGTTTATATTTTTAAAATTTTTCAAACATTTTGTTCAAACTAAACACGTTTGTAGTTTATATTTTTTTAAAAATAAACAAAAATCAATATATAAAATTTTTATAAATATAAACCAAAAATGTAAACACTTTAAGGTTTTACTTTCCCCAAAATGGTGGCCACCAAATGCAACAACCCCCAACTTGTAAAATGACATGAAGTTCATAGTTAAAACTCCAATATTCTTTTCTATAAATTAAAGTTCAATGAAAAAAATATTAAACAGAGTTTGGATATTACAATTTTTGGAATGTTTAACTACCTAAGAACACTTGCCTAATTGATACAGCCAAGTGATAAACCATATATCGCTTACTCTTGTTTTTACTAGGGGTAATTACAATTAAATGGTTTTTGGATAAAATTTTAAATTTTTTTATGATTTTAATTATTAATATTTATAATTTTTACCACATATGTGCAATTTTTTATTCTAAATTTAACTAAATTGTGATTTCCCTTTTTTAATACTCATGCAAGTTCATCAGAGCCTTTATGAATTAATTAGTGTTACCCAAAAGACAACTTAAGAGGGAGGTGAATTAGGTTTTTACAATTAAAAATTAATAATACCCTAATAAAAATTATGACTAGCACAATAGATAAATATAGTTAATGAAATAAAAATAATTAAAACAAGTGTTCTAACAACTATGTCAGTTAATGATTTTAGCACAATGAAAATGTGAAATATAGCTACAGCAATTTAAATAAAATAAAGAGATAAGGGAGAGAGAGACAAACAAATTTATAGTGGTTCGGTTTCAACTCGGCCTACATCCACTCCTCAAGCTTCACTTGAGATTTTTCACTATGCTCTAGCTTCACGGTGGTGCTTGCAACCTCTTTACAAGTGGAGCAATCCTCCACGGATTTTACACAAACTTCACAAGCCCAAAGCATTGCAAATCTTAGGTGATTCACAATCACTCTCAAGATTTCAAGAACACAATGTTTGCAACACTTTTACAATATGAAATGGTATTTTTTTCTTTCAAAGAAAGCTTACAATAAATATCTCTCAAAGATGGATATACAAAATGAAGCTCTAGTTTTTCTGTAAACCTCACACAAAAAAGATAGGCTTAAAGCTATAAGGCTCAGTATATAATTTCTAAACGAGGATGTAAACAAAAATTGAAGAACACTTCTCAGAGAATTTTTCAAAGAATAGCTGTGAGTGATTATAGATCAAAAAATATTTTCTGATTTTTTTGTCACTTGTTTACATTAGAGGCTTTGGTATATATAATGAAACTTATAGCCGTTTATAGCCGTTGTATTGATTTGAATTTATAATCGTTTATAGTTGTTGTATTCATTTGAATTTATAGTCGTTTATAGCCGTTATACTCCATCATTACTAATTTGAATATCTTCCACTTCATCATTACAAATTTGAATATCTTTCACTTGAACCTTTTGAACCTTTTGGGACAAAATAAATTTTGATTCTATTTTTCTCTTTCAAATAAATCATCAAAATAAATTTTGATTATATTTTTCTCGTCCAAATAAATTTAAAAATATAATTAAATAAATCATCAAAATAAATAAGTCTAACAATTTGGCATTCAACGAACTACTAGAGCACAAAGTTCAACCCTAAGGGGTTGGTCTCTTGAACACAACTTGACACTTGGGGGTGTGCTCTCTCTAGGTCTCAAGTTCAATACTTACTAACTACAATAATCTTTTTAGGGTCAGTCTATACAGGGTGTTTGTTCTGGCTTTAAATAGGTCCCTCACAATTGGGCAGTATGTTTGGTCTTCTATACTTACTAATAGGTAAACGGGGCCCTCACAAGTGGGCAGGGTGTTTGCTCTGACTTTAAATGGGACCCTCACAGGTGGGCAGTAGGATTGGTCTTCTGTACTTACTAATAAGTAAATGGGGTTCTCACAAGTGGGCGATAGGATTGGTCTACTGGAAATGGGGCTCTCACAAGTGGACAGTAGGATTGATCTTTTGGAAATAGTTGAGGTACACGTAAACTGGGCAATAGGATTAGTCTTCTATACTTACTAATTGGTAAATGGGGCCCTCACTAGTGGGCAATAAGATTGGTCTTCTGGAAATGGGGCCTTTACAAGTGGGCAGTAGGATTGATCTTCTGGAAATAGTTGAGGTGCGTGTAAACTGATTTGGACATTCAATTATTAAAAAATGGTGTTTGCACTAACTTTAAATGGGATCCAATTATTAAAAAATGATATTTGCTCTGACTTTAAATGGGACCCTCACAAGTGGGTAGTGGGATTGATTTTCAAGAAATAGTTGAGATGAACATAAACTGATTTGGATATCCAGTTATTAAAAAAAAAGAAAAAAAGCACAAATCTTAACACATGGCGCTGGATGTTTATTTATTTCTTATAATAATTACACATTATACCTATTGTTTGTAAATAATTCAAAGTTCTCCATATCTATTGTAGACCTATCAAAACAAAGAAAATATTTATTGCAAAACGACCACTGATGTTATGTAGCTGCTAGCATCAATGAGAAAACGATTCAGATTCAGAAATTTCTTCTAACTCACTATCTAATAGCCTTCCCCTCATTTTTCCCCTTGTCGTCATTGGATTTGCAGAGGCAAATGGATTGGAAGGCATGGTCAGACTACCTCCATCTCCTTCCAACATTTGCACCACAACTTTCATCGATGGTCGGTCTATAGGATACCAATGTATACACCACAGTCCCACAATAGTTAGTTTCTTTGCAATTTGTGCATCTCCATCTTCATCAATCTGGATTTCTAGATCTTCTCCATGATCCAAACGGTTGTAAATCCATTCAGGAAAGTACACTTCACTTTTGTTTTGTGTGACATTATTATTCCTTACTCCAACCATTTCTAGCAGCAGCATTCCAAAACTATATACATCTGATTTGCATGACACCTTTCCAAAATTTCGAGAGAACACTTCGGGTGCAATATAGCCCACTGTGCCCCTTGCAGCAGTCATGGATACCACACTTTGTTCCTTGGAACACAACTTTGCTAGGCCAAAATCAGAGATTTTTGGGTTGAAATTGTGGTCCAACAAGATGTTATGAGGTTTAATGTCAAAGTGAAGGATTCGTTGATTGCAACCTTGGTGAAGATAGTCAATTCCTTTAGCTATGCCAAGAGCAATATCATGCAGCTTCTCCCAACCTAGTGAATTCTTTTTGCGTTTAGACAATATGAACTTTTCTAGGGAATGGTTTGATAAGAACTCATAAACAAGAGCTCTTTTAAATCCATCCGCACAATATCCGACCAAACGTACGACATTGATGTGGTGGATTGTACCTATTGTTCCCACTTCATTGATGAACTCATCCCCATTTCCCTTGACATTGTCGAGGATTTTGACTGCAACATGAACATCATTGGATAGTTTTCCCTTGTACACTGTTCCATAGCCACCTTGGCCTATTTTGTCCTTAAATTTATTGGTAATGTTCCTGATGTCAGCAAAAGAGTATCTTGCAGGCTTGAGGGCTTTGTAATCCTCCAAAAATCTTTCAATCTTTTCCTGATCCTCTTTCTTTTTTATTATTAATTGAAGGACACAACATATTGCAATAAGGACACAAATTGCAAAAATGACTGCTGCAACAAGAAACTTGTGTCGGAGTATACCTGAAATTTAAAACAGTCAAACTAAGAAAATGCTAACAACATAAATAAGGTGGATGGATAAATTCACCAACAAATGCTAGGTTTTTATTTATTTATTTATTTATTTTTAAAGACCTATAAACACTAGGTTGAGAAATAAATTGCTAAATTACACTCTCTTTTTTTTTATCAATTTCATTTTTTTGGGGGGGAATAATTGAAAATCAATGGTATTAAAGCTCTGTTCTCAGAGATATTAAATTGAAATGTTGGAGTATGTGTTTATTTTCCTTTGTTGTTATGTAAACTATTCTTGATGTATTTATTAATTAAAAGGAAAATAGTATTCTTATAGAAGTTTAATACATTATTTTTTACCATAATAATATGACTGTGGTATTATGTAATTAAATGTCATTTTAATGGACATTTTAATTTAATATAATAAGTCCCAATGTAGCTGCATCAATCTATATAAAATTTTGAAATAATTACAAAAATAAATAAATAAATAAAATAAAATAAAAAAATTTCAAAGTTTGACCCTTGTAACAAAATAAATCTTGAGCTCTTAATTTTGTCAATTTAAACCCTAGTCTTTTACTTTGTTTTGAATCTACACGATCAGCCTATTTTCGTTAAGTAAAACCAACAAAAAAAAGTAGTATTTTAGTCATTAAACACAACTAAGTTTAACCTCTCCTTATATCAGTCAATATCAAAAAATCAGATGGCAGCTAAAGAGAGAACTAAAGGAGGATGGCAACTAGTTATGTATGGTAAATACAAACAAACTCAAAGGTATGAAGCTATGAAGGATGGTAAGGATATCTTCACTCTATTTGTTGATAACATACCAATGTCCATGAATCCAAAAGGACTGTATTCTTGGTTTATGTAGTTTGGGGTAATTAAGGATGTTTTTATCCCAAACAAAACAAGGAAAGCAACAAAGTCCAGGTTTGGATTTCTCAAATTTGATTGTCTAGTGGCACTGGATGTTGCGACTTTAAAAACAAATAGTATCTGGTGTGATGACATGGTTCTCAAAGTAAAGAAAACAACTTTTGGAAAAGGATCTAGAACTGAAAAGACAATAGCCATAAGCAAGGTTGGTGGAAAGTTCAATGAAGATGGAGTGGATATGACTAGGAGGATGATCACAGGGAAAAAATCATACGCAGAGGTGTCAAGAAATGGAATCGAAGAGAGAATCAAGACTTAACTATCATGGCATACGAGGTGGGAAATGGGTGGTTATATGATAGTGTTATTGTTAAGCTGAAAAGCTACCATGCCTTATCTAAGTTTCAAAATGTGGTTCCATAAAAAAGGGTCTAAGGACATTTTGGCAAGGAAGAGTGGAGGAAGAATGGTTGTTTAATCTTTCGATTCAAATGCAATTATGAAGGAAATGCTAGTACTAATTGATGATTACCTTAAGGAACGGTGTGATTATGTCACTCAATGGAAGAAATGGATGTATTTGTAGCAAGAAAGAATGGTTTGGCTAACCTGCTATGGTGTGCCACTAAACCTATGGAGCACTGATGTGTTCAACAAAATTGGAATTTTATGGAGAGAGATGGTGGTCTTAGATGAAGAAACCTCAAACTCTTTATCCTTCAAGTGTAGGCAGGTGAAAATTGCTACAAAAACTATGAAGTTTATCAACACAGTTGTACAAGTGAAGTGTAGAGATAATTTCTATCCAGTAAGAATTTGTGAAGAGCAAGTCATGCTAACCAAAGTTACGGAATCATGTAATCATGTTGTGCATCTAAGAAGAGAGGAACTATACAGCTCTAATGAAGTTAATGAGCATAATCTTGACAATGGAGATAGCAAGGAAGGAAAAGATGAGGGCGTGGATGGCAGGGTGCATGATGATGTGGACAAATGCGATGAAGTGGCACCTACCCAAAAGAATGAGCTAGAGTTTCAGCAAAACAAGTGTAAAAGGAAAAAGGAAGGATGGTTCATCTTCCTCAAAAGTGGAAGAGACATAGTGTGAGCTCATGAGAAACCTAAATGTTAGAGAAGCATGCAATGAAATCACTACAGGGACAAATTTGAATGCCAATCAGATTCTTAATAAAGCAAATAAGGAAGGGGAGTCAGAGGCCAACCCATCTGGCTTCTTGATAAGCCTTAGTGGATCTGGGGGAATTGAGCCTGGAATAAATCTTGAGGTGGCTTTAAATGAAGTCCAAAAGGTAGGGGATTTTCTTGGGCCTAGAGGAGTTACTGATGGCTATACCATCATTCCCACTTACTATACCTTAGTGGATCTGGGGGAATTGAGCCTGGAATAATAATGAAGTTTAAGCCCAAATGGCTATACCATCATTCCCACTTACTATCCAGCCCATACCTAACTCAATGAAAGTAGTTAGGGAGAAAAGAAGCTCCATAGCCTGTAGTAGTCCGTTATCTGCAAGGAGGCTCACTGCCAAAAAAGGGAGTAAGCATACATAGAAGGATGGCTAAAGGAGAAAGAAGGCAAGAAAAGGTGGATCAATGGTAATGGGAAGTTGGAGCAAAGGTGCAATCTTCAGAGCAACAGTTACAACTCAGTCATCTTATGGGTCGAATCATCTGGGTTGATTTGACATCGCACAAGCGCGCGCACACACACACACACACACACACACACACACACACACACACAGCGCTTCTAAATGAAGCGCAAGCTACGGTACAATTAGGCAAAGCTCTGGGAATTTGTTTTCAAAGAAAAGAAAAGGAATCCATTCGTAAAATCATAGAGTTAGAAGAAGATGATGTGGAAATAGTGGCTTAGAAGGATGTGGTTGCTCAAGATTAAGCAATTGCATCAGGTGAAATAAGGAGATTTGTTGTTATTTTAATGAAGCTACTATCTTGGAATGTTAGGGGTTTGGGCAGAGCAGAGAAAAGGGGAAAGATAAGGAAGCAACTTAAAGAGAGATATTGATTTTGCCTTTATTCAAGAAATCAAGAAATCAAGTTTGTCAGCTGATTTTGTAAAGTCTTTATGGCCTACGGATGATTTAGATTTCATGATTGTTGACTCGGATGGGTTAGCTAATGGGCTGCTATGCATCTAGAATCCAAATGTTTTCAAGCTTTCTCAATGTTGTAGCACAAGGAACTTCATCTTACTTTCAGGTGATTTACTTCCAAATTTTGATTGTGTGCAAGTGAATGTGTATGCACCTAAAAAGGATAAAAGTACCTCCCAATGGATGAAAAGAATTATTTGGCTTACCCATGAATGGCGTAGAGGCCATGTATATATAATAGACTCATTATACAATCTAGGAAACGATATAAATATGGAAACAATACTAAATAAGTGATTGACACAATCACAGATTATATACATAATACTAAAAATAAAAAGATCCTATGTAATCTAATTTTTATACTCAACACTCCCCCTCAAGCTGGTGTGAAGATATTTAACAATCGCAGCTTGCTAATGGATGACTGGAAGAAGCCGGAAAAAACTCAACGGCTAGTCTAAATAAATGCTATAGAACAAATCTGGTAGTCCAATAAATAAAAAAGGTCAAAAAGTGCTTAATACATCAGCACCACACCCTAGAAAAGGAAAAAAAATAAACAATACTCAACACTCCCCCTCAAGCTAGTGTGAAGATATTTAATAATTGCAGCTTGCTAATGGATGACTGGAAGAAGCCGGAAAAAACTCAACGGCTAGTCTAAATAAATGCTATAGAACAAATCTGGTAGTCCAATAAATAAAAAAGGTCAAAAAGTGCTTAATACATCAGCACCACACCCTAGAAAAGGAAAAAAAATAGAGACTAAACTGTCCTAGAAGAGCTGCCGAAGCATCTATGGCCAGGAAACACCCTGGTCGACAGCCAATAAGACACTAGTCAGCATCAAAGACTGAAGCTAATGTTGGGAGATAGTTTATGGTCGTGCCGGACTATTGTAAAAACTGGTCAGAACTAATGTCGAAACAGTTTAAGGGGTCATACTGGAGCATTGTAGGAACTAACCAGAATCAATGTCGAGACAGTTTAAAGGAGTCATGCCAGACCAATATAGAGAACTGGATGTTGAACCAGCATGCGACACACACATAACTTATGATGTGGTGCTGAACGATGATGGCAATAAATGGTTGAGTGCACCAAGGGGCGACTTATTAGAAAGTGCACTAAGGGGCGACTTTGGTGGTGCGCTAGAGGGGGCGACTTTAGTTGTACCCCAGAGAGAGCAGCTTGGGTTGTGCGCTAGATGGTGCGGCTTAGGTGGTTCACATAGTATATCACCATGCTCACCATGATATAGGTATAATACCCTCCATCAAACTCAAATAGCTTTGAAGATAGAAACCTAATTGAGATTGAAATAAAAGGAAACACAAAGTGGAACAGAAACACACAACAACAACAAAAAAAAAAAAATGGATTGCGAGTAAAAAAAATATGATAGAGATAATTGGGATAGTAATAAACTAGTGGATAAAGGAAGTGATCTCCACGAAGTGATACAAAAACAAAATATAATAGTAGAATTGGTTGAGGTCTGGTAGGCGGCCAAGGCAAGGTTGTCGCCCGCCAATGAAGCAAAATTACTAGGTACTTAACCTAGCTTTGATACCAAAAATGATGAAAAGAATTATTTGGCTTACTCATAAATGAGGTAGAGGCCATGTATATATAATAGATTCATGATATAATTTAGGAAACGATATAAATAAGGAAACGATACTAAATCAGTGATTGACACAATCACAAATTATATCCATAATACTAAAAATAAAATGATTCTATGTACTTTCAACACTTTCTAGATTAAAATCTAGGTTTGAGAAGCCTTGGTGTCTAAGGGGGATTTTAATTAAATCAAGAATTTAGGGGAGGGAAAAGGGTGTTCTAGAAGTGATAGGGGAATGAAGGAATTCAATGATTTCATTGAGCTTATGGAATTATTTGATTTGCCTATGCTTGGAAGGCAATTTACATGGTGCAATTCTTGTGAAGGGGGAAAATGAAGTAGAA